CTTTCTATATTTTCACGGTAATTGTTATGATGAGCTTTCCTTTTTGAAATCTCGACTTTTACTGTTGAAACTGCTTGATGAAACCGTAAGTTCTATGCTAACAGTTTCTTCTATTGCACTTCTTGCTTGTGGAATTCTCTTGTGGCTTCTGGCTTTCCAGTCAACTTTGCATTTTTGAAGATCAATCTTCCGTCTTTTATTATCCTTGTTCCTTCCTTGTTCCCTGTTCTTCTACTTGTTACTCGGCCAATGAATGTCAAATGTTTCTTTGTACCATTTCCTCCTCCTTCCAAACGCAATAAGGAAATTCCTCCGAGCTTACCCTCCCCCAACATCTCAAAGAAAAAAATGACTCCCCCACTTTTTTTTTTTTTTTTAAACAAATTCTCGCGTTGGTGATTCCCTGAATACATTAAGTCAAATATCATTTTATTTTTCTAATAATGTTCACATCTTACCACCTTTTCATCCATTCACACACACACACACCATTACCATTTTCAATGTAACCTTGAGTTGCTCTCTAACCTTGTTTTGGGTGAAATTTAGTATAAAAAGTCTAAGACATTGTTTATAGATTGAAAAATCAAAATTTTCGTTAATAATTTTTTTTTTTTTTTTTAAACTTATTTTGCGAATGGGATCTTTTAAAAACTTTGTTTTAAGCGCAGTAATAAATTGGCAGCTAGGATTTTCATAATTTTACAGTTGAAATTGCTATATATAACCATAAGCTAACAGTTCCTTCTGTAGTTCTCACATGTGGAAACTATCTTCCGGCTTCCCTGTCAACTTCAAAAATTTAAATGGAATGTCAGTCGTTATCTCTTGTCTTAATTCTTGTTCTCCTTATGTGCTTTTTTTTCATAGTCTTTCAAACTCAATAACCCTTTACATCTTGGTAGCTTTATTACCTTGATTGCGGTCAAATGATTTAAAAAAAAAATCATGGAGGTTTTTGTGTCTTCTATGAAATATAGTTCACTATATTTCTGCATTTGTATCATTTTTTTTTTAACCCTTAGTTACTTTAATCGTCAGGGTGGTGGGGCACCAGAGGACTAAAGAAACAGAATTCTTAATCATGATCCTTTCAGACCCACCCCCTCTCCTTGTTATACATACCGTTAAATCTGTGAAACTTTTTTCTTCTTTTTGTTTTCTTTCCTTCCATTTTTCTTTCTTTCCTTCCTTTCTTTCTTTTTCTTTCTTTCCTTCCTTCCTTTCTTTTTCTTTCTTTCCTTCCTTTCTTTCTTTTTCTTTCTTTCCTTCTTTCTTTTCTTTTCTTTTCTTTCTTTTTCTTTCTTTCCTTCCTTTCTTTCTTTTTTCTTCTTCCTTCCTTTCTTTCTTTTCTTTCTTTCCCTTCTTTTCTTTCCTTTCTTTCTTTTTCTTTCTTTTTTCTTTCTTTTTCTTTCTTTCCTTTCTTTCCTTTCTTTTCTTTCCTTTCTTTTCCTTTCCTTTCCTTTCTTTCTTCCTTCCTTTCCTTTCTTTCCTTTCTTTTCCTTCCTTTCTTTCCTTCCTTCCTTCCTTTTTTTTCTTTTCTTCCTTTCTTTTTCTTTTCTTCCTTTCTTTTTTCTTTTTCCCTTTTTTCTTTTTCTTCCTTTTTTTTTTTTTCTTCCTTTCTTTTTCTTTTCTTCCTTTTCTTTCTTTTCCTTCCTTTTTTTTTTCTTCCTTCCTTTTCTTTCCTTTTTTTTTCTTTCCCTTTCCTTTTTTTTCATTCCCTTTCCTTTTTTCATTCTTTTCTTTTCTTTCCTTCCTTTCTTTTTTTTTTCCTTTTTTTTTTCCTTCTTTCTTTCCTTCCTTCCTTTCTTTTTTCTTTCCAGCGAAGCCATCAGGATGCAGGCTTGGTAGAAGATTTGAGCACGAGTGATAGGACTGATATAAGAAAGGATGATAGAGGATAGTGGAGGACTGGAAGGTAACTGAGTCGATTGATTAATACATTTGAATAGTTGAGATTATAGCTCTCAGGGAAACAGAATTGAGAAGGTGTTCCATATGAGAAGGGTGAGGATGAAGTTGGGTTGGAGTAGAAGAGATTGGCTACATTTAAGTTTCTACAGTGTAAGGTGGGAGTGGGATGCCAGCCTCGTAGGGCGCTTTGAATTCATGGAGTCTGGGGAACCAGTAAAAGCAGCTCATCGGATAATTACCATGGAAAGTATGTGTAAAAAAGACAGAGAGGCGACAGTCCGTCTGTGAGAGTGATTGCAGACGAGATGCCAGATCAGGGCCAATTATATTACATATCCGTCTCTGGATCTTGTCAAGAACTCCGAGGTAAACAGAAGGTACCCCAGACCATATATACTCCAAGGACGAATGGTTGATTTGTATATTTGAAGTATCGATTCCGGGGAGAAAAATTTGTTAATGTACTCTTGTATGGATCCTCATCACAAGGCGAATTTTTTCAGTCGGACGTTTTGTATTGCTTCAAAATGAAAATAATGAGTAACAATTAAAAAAAAAAGAAAATGTGAAAGAAAATGAGAAACTACAGCGAGTTTTTATTTATTTATTTATATACGATTATGATACATACAAAAAAATGTTGTCGAATTTTTTTTTCCCCTCAAAATTTAAATTTTTTCAGAAAGTTGATTAGCTCAGTTTGTTAGAAATATACAAGATGGTAAAAATATTTTCTTTATAAAAAAAAAAACCAAACAAACAAACAAAACAAAACAAAACCTGCAAGGCCCCGGAAATAAAGATAAACGTTTGAATGTCCCTCTTTCAAATGCATCGACAAGCAGTAGTTTACATTCTAAACGTTTTTTGCTTGAACCTTTTTACAAGATGTCTGGTTTGATAAGTAAACATCTATTTCCACGGCGTCGAAGTTTGAATATTTTTTTTTTTTATATTGCATGATAACACCTGAACATCAGATAAACAGCGAATAAATAGTATAGGACTAATTAATGCTAGTTGTTTATTGGTCTACTTTTATACGAGTAAAAGAACTGGACATAGCGATGGAGTAGATATCATTTCTTGTTGAAGGCTGGGCTTAAATTTTGTGGGAAATATGGCAAAACTGACTGAATATTCAATGAGATAGAAAATGCCTTGAATGAGAGTTCCCCGCCCCCACCCAGTTTTGTCCAAATTAATCTGTCACAAAACTTTTACCCCAGTTGTATGAACGACTGATTTAAAAAAAAAAAATGCTTGAGGATTAAAGGCAGAGAAATACGGAAAGAGAGAAAAAAAAAATCGTTAGAATTTATCATTTTGGATAAGGTTTGGTCTTTTGGCATAAACATAAGCTCCGATGGATTTTCTTCCCTCGCAACTCCGTTGTGACTTAGTAAAGTTACAAACGTTTAGGAGAAAAACCAAAGCTTCTCGAGCAAGTGTCTTTTGTAATGTAATTTTTAATCCGTTACTTTTATCTTCCACCAAGTACATCTCGGGTTTAAGTGCAAGAAGACAAGTACAATTTATTTGATAACACTGGATAGAAAGAATGTAAATACAACTCGGCTAAAAAAAAAAAAGGGGGGGGGGTAGGTAAAAAGTTATTTTAAAAAAAGTTATTTTTAATTTGGGTTTAAAATTAATGGCCTAGCATTTTCTTCATTGGCATATAACCAGCTTAATGGTACTAAACTACAGCAACAGGAAAAAAAAAAAACAAAAAAAAACAACGTTCTGGCCAGAAGACATACGAAAGTAAAGAAATGATATTAAAAACAAAATGGCCGTTTAGGGAGACGCGGTCATTAAAGTGTATATGGAAAAAAAAAAATTATTCAGTGACCAAATAAATAGTTCTTGTTTTCTGTTTCTTTATTGATTTATTGTCCCCGTATGCAAGTAAGAAACGGTTCGGTTCATTAGAAGTATTTAAAATACAACATATCTGTAGATAATATTAAAAACTGATTACGCAATATGCAACTGTTAAAGTTAACTCCCCTGATGAATCCATCGTAAACATGCATTAATTCGCTTATGTTATTTCCCTTTATTCAATTCATTAATGAAGGAAGGGAGAGATTAGAATGAGATATATATATATATATGATCAGAAATCCGGAACCGGTTTCCCATTTTTTTATATATGCATATAAAGTCTGAAGTAAATTTAAGAACCAGCTCTGAACTTGCGTAATTTTAAAAAGCGCGAATTGAACTGTTGCGAACTATTTAAATCCAATCACTGCCTATGATACACAAATCGAAGACATTTTTTTTATTTTATAGCTAAAAGAATTTTTTTTTTTTTATATAATCCAACATGTTTACGGCCAATACGATGTGTATATGCCTGCGTATGAAGGAATTTATTTCCTTTGTGTAGTAATAAATATTTCCAGGTTGTATCACAGCTGTTTCAGCATGCAGGCCTCCTCTCTCGCTATGCGCGTGTATATATAAGAAAAGAATGGAAAAAAGAAAAAAAAAGTAGTGAGTTGTCTTACACTGGTGGGATTTTGTGGTTTACTTTTTCTTCCTATTAATGTGTTTTTTTGTTTTTTTTTCTTTCTCGTAGATGAGTCGAAGACAATAACGGCGACTACATGGATTGTGCTGTCATGGCGCAAAAAAAAAAAAAAAATGGCCACGATTGCAACAGTTATCTTTTATCGGAGTTAATATATCTCGTCTTTCTGCTGCCTGGGTACTACTCTGGTCCCAGCCCCAAATAAAACTTTCGTTTAAGTGAGAAGGAAAAGGAAAAGGAAAAAAAAAAAAAGCTCGCCCTCTTGCATGCTTTGCATTTCAACAAATTTTATTACTAAGATAAAATAAAACAGTTGTTTGATTTAGTGATATTATATAAGTAAACAATAGCATTTCTTTAAACTGTTTAATTTATATAAAAGTAAAATAGCACGTTCGCATTTCGTTTTTTCTTTCATGCCGTAATGAGTAGAAATCGAACATGGAGATAACAATGCAGTTAATTATATAATTGTCTTAACGAATATTCATAACGACAAGTTTACGATAACAAATGGTTATGATTTAATTATATGTTAACAATGCAACAAGTAGCATGACTGGATAAGAGAAAGATGGCGGCTTTTTTTTCTGTAGGGGAATGAAAATCAGTCGAAATGAACAGACAGTGATCGATGTATACTAGTAGACTTTCTTTCATAATATTTATTTCCTAGGGAGTTAGACTTAAAAAGTTAGGTCTTTGTGACTGCGGCTGTTTGTATGACGTTTTTAAAATATTGATTAACTGATGCTGCTTGGCCAGAAGCCGGCGACAGATGGCGGGTGGGGTGGGGTTGATGATGACGGCTGATTTACATGTCGCCACTGGAGATACTTATGCACAAAACTACGAATGCGTTATTGCACGTATATTCCTCACTGCCTAACAGCTTGTTGTCAACCAACGAACTTCCCAAGCCGGTTTTAGTCTGGGAATCAGAGATCCAACCGTCGCAAATATTTTCTTTCACTCTCTTGCCGTCGGGATCAGTTCCGTGCCACAAGATTTTCTGCGGCCTGTAAAATGAATAAAATGAAGACGAGTTTAATTAGGCGATATTTTACTTTATTTCTTTGTAAACTAGAGACGGAATAAAGGTTTCACAATAAAAAAAAAAAAGACATTGTCATATTCACGAAGTTTCGGCCGTTGTACGCGACGGTCTTCTTCAGAAATTTACATATGTTGGAATTCCGCACCCTTTATTTTCAAGATATATCAGTTTCAGTTCATTCCATTAAGTAACTGGTCCACGATTTTGTTAAATTCTGCTGTGGTTTTGATGTCAAAAAACTTGACGACAAATGACTTTTCAGATAACTTCAACCAACAATTTAATTTCGATAAAAGAGAATTTGGGACTGTTAACATCATTGCCAGATTCACAAAGGTTCGGCCGCTATATGCCTGATTTGAATTTGGAACACTTCGTCTCGGTAAATTATACTAATTCCATAAGCCATGTTTCAGTTATTTCCCTTTAACTCAACTCGCCAAGTTTTTTATTCAACACAACTATAGCCTGGTATTGAATACACAACTCTTTGACTGTAGTTATTTGATCTAACTAATGTCTATATCCGGTGAGGATATGGCCATGAGGACATAAGAATTTTTGGGATTTATAAACACATCACAGGAACAATTTTTTACCAGTTATTTACATACATTACATTACATTATCTAAATCGCAAAATAAAAAAAATGTAAGAATTTTATTTACGAACAAAATATGTTTGTCTAATACTGTCCCTCCAGGAAAATATCCATGTATAATGAATTTTTACACGAATATCTTTTTTTCAAACTTTTAGTAACAATAATTTATGAAATTTTATTTCTTCAAATTCTTTTTTTTAGCTGTCAAGCAATTCAGTCATTATATTAAAACTATTTGTCAATCATAAAATGAAAAGCTAAGTACAATAATAACTGTCAGCAAACGTTAGATAGAAAGTTACTACTTACCATCTTATACTATTTAAGACATTGGAACCATCAAATGAATAAATCGGGACACTGCTATTGAAGAATCCACCAAATCTATCAAACAGATCGTTCCAGGAACTTGCCAACACTTCACCCTGGAAGATATAAAACAAATTTGGAGAAATTCTTTTGTTTATAGCATTAAGAAAAAAAAAAGAAATCTTTGTATATTTATTAGTATAAAAGAAATTGCTTTCTTCCGTCTATGTTGCTGAATTGATTACTGGACAAATACTTTTGTGCCAAATAGTCATGCTGATGAGAGTTTTTATAACAATTCTACATTCACATCTTTTGCAGAAAAGACTGTAAAGACTCAGATTCTGTTAAGTTATATTGATCTAATGCGCATGATCAATTCTGCCATTGTCCGCTCCTTTGATATCCGGGTGGGGAGTCACGTTATTTATATTATAAGTAAAATGTTTATATGCCGCCACAATTAGTATAAAACTGATTTTGGATTAACAATTCGATATATTTAAGATTAAAAGATTTTTTCTCACATTGGTATTTAATCACGACTTAAATGTGAATTGAGAATACATTTTAATTATAATCAAAACTTACCATTAAGTTGACGATCGGAATGCTTCGATCCTTTTTAAAGAAGATGAGAGTGCGCATATCTTGAACTTTAGAAGAAAGGAAAGCACGGTATGTGCCCTTGTATTGAGAGTATTTAGCTTGTCTGTAACAAGCGCCATCAGCTCCGCTGATACCATTCATATCTCCCCTCATCGGTTCATTCAAGGCTATTAGGTGTAGCTGATAATAAAAAAAGAAAATGATAGCAAAATTTTTTTTTTTTTTTTTTTTTACAAATATGGGTGCACAAAAGGTCCCGTAAAAATTGGCAAAAGATTCAAATACAGGTCAGCGTTGGATTATAGGGTGTCACCGATTATTTTAGAAGAAAACTGAATTCTGATTTACCTATTGCACCTTGAAAAGTTACAAATTGACAGGAATAAAAGTTAAATAGTCATAAATCTTCAAGTTTTGATTGCAATAAAAATAAAACACCATCACAAATAAATGGGTAGCTAAGAATTCAGATAATTTAGGCAATCATTGCAAAATACTTTCAGGAGACTAAACGTTATCAAAGAATGTGATGGTAGTAAACAAAAAGAAGAAAGTGACGAGAGGGGTGGGGGGTCAGTAAGTTCAGTGCGCCGTTCGCCGACAGACAAGCTGTTCTTCCTTCGTCGTCGGTCGCCTCAAGAAAATGAATTGCGAGACTCCCTTTCTCGGCCGTTACACCGGGCAGTCGTGAAATCAGCCGCGCCTACTTTGATTGATTGATTGATTTCTTGTCAGTCAGTCAGTCAGTCAGTCCCTACGTCCAACTCTATTACGCATGCAAGTGACCCGGCCCCTGTCGTCGTGCTGCTGGCATCTCGCTTTTTTATGCCTGTCTGATGCGGCAGAAATTTGCATGTGTGCGAATATAGTCTCGTTTTGGACGAGATCGGCGCGCATAAATTGTCTCTTCGATAGCGTCCATATTTCTTTTCCACGTTACTTTGCAGGCGAGACACGTTCGCACTCGTTTTGAACTTCGAGGTAAGTCATGTCTTTCGTAACAGTGATCAAACTTTTCCTCCTTTCCAAAATAAAATCAACAAACTATTTCTACAGATAAAACGATAAGAATTATCACACTTTAGTAATTGAATCATTTAGCTTTTGGAGGAGACCTTTGTGGCTCTTACATTTTTTTTTCTATAAAAACCGGATGCTGACCACTCGACGACCCGATGCAGACTGTAAATACGTTTTCTGAGCATAGGCTTCCCGCATACACCCGCTTTAATAAAACGAACGATTTATTGACGACTCAGAGCCACCCCACTCCAAAAACCAAATTCTTAATTTGGATCTGAACAACAGTAACAAGAAAAACGAGTTTCTGTCTTCCAGGTTACCCATTTCCACCTTCGTAATAAGTCCAACTCTTCATTTTTCTGATATTCGGTTTAACATTGGCCTCTCTTAGAGAAAATGAGCCTTGCTTCATGCTTAATATTAGAAAGGAATTAACTACGGGCATTATTTCAAGTTTGATTTATAAAACAGCCAAACTTGTGTAAGAGGTCAGACGATCTGGAATGATGAAATCTTGTTGGGTCCAATCTGAAATTAGCTAACTTTTCGACTTCTTTCTCCATTCGTCATCTGGACAAAATGAGGGCTCCTAATCCCAGAGGAGAAAGTAAGAAAACTCATTTGCTTATGAAAAAAATAACACGTTACCATTCATGTCCAAAATTATTTTTAGCTCCTAGATTCTTTTTTTCATTTATTTTTATTCGGTCGAGTTAGCTCGGACATTCACGAGTACATTACGATCCTGCATCTGTGTCATAACATAGCTGGTCAATGTAGGTGGTTGCTGGGCGACCAATTTGTCTGGCTCCATGGCTAGGTGTACAGAGCAGAAGATTATTTGTGAGTTTTCGTTTTGCTCGCCAGCAATGTCCTGCAAAGCGCATTCTGCCTTCGCATAAGATTGTGGAAATATCAGAGATGGATTCATAGGGCTTTGATTTAGTTGGATGTTGTCTCCAAGAGATATTAAATATAACTCACAGCATCCAAGTGGAGATTCCATTAAACTTAGACTCTCGGGTTTTAGTTAATGTCCAGGCATTGGCACCATACATTAACTTCGCCTTTACAGTGGCCCGAAAGAATCTCCGTTCGATGTTGTCTCGTAGATCAGATTTCCAAATTACGTCTATTTTATTCTAAGCGGCCCAGGATTTAGCTATGCGAATTTTCACATTTTCGTTAGAGTTAATCTCGCTTCCGTGGTATGTAAAAGATTCAAGAGATTTTATGGATTCACCCGAGGCAGTTTTTTTTTTTTTATTGAACCTTGCTGTTTGAAATCTAAGAATTCAGTTGTACAGGCATTGATTTAGTCCAACATGATTGGCAGCATTTTCTACATGATGTAGAATTAATGCGGAATGGATAATTGTGTTTACAGTCAAAGCTGGGTCTCTCCATAATCATTTTGTCAACTTTGTTGCAGATTGAACAAATAGTATAGTTATTGCATTTTACGAGGGCATAGCAAATGATTTTCGACTCGACCCACTTCCCCAACAAAAGGGGCGAACATCATTTTTGTTTTTATTTTTGCATATTTTTGAAGGGCTTCGTGTTCGAATCGAAAACTTTTCAGGAGTCCACGTACTTTAAAACATCAAAAGCTTAAAATAAATCCTCTTTGTTTTGACCATATAATTGGTCAAGGAATAACAAAAGAAGAGGTTGCAGATAAATCGTGTATTGAACAGTAAATACATCAGAAGTGAGTTACACGATTTGGGAGTGTGTCGGTTGACCAGCGTTCAGTCTGTATCACTGTTCCCTCGACGCTTACTTTTCCTACTAACTTTATAGTAAATGGAAGAGTCCACAATAGCCTCATTAGAGGGAAGACACCACAACAATCTTGTCAACCGGAGTAAAAAAAAAAAAACAACAATGTATATATAACTCAAATTTCATTAAACATGTTGAACATTCTAACACTTACCCGACTTCCCTTTTCGTGAGATCGCAAAAGACTGAAGCTGCCTGGGTGGCGAGCTGGCTGGATTGGTATTGGAGGTTTCTGAGTCTGGGGATGGAAAGAAATTCATATCGTATAAAATATAAACAGAAGTAGCATCGTCTCTAAGAAGGAATTCAAATAACGTATATTAGGGCAGACAGCATATATCGTTAAGCAAACAATCGGATGTTTCAATAGAGATGAAGTCTTCTCAGTTATTCAAGGGTAAAAATATCGACTGAAAATAAGGTTAAAAAAATAAATAAATACAAGTGATATTTCGTCTACTAACTCATACATTACACAAGATTCCATTAAGACTTTTGAACTATGATGGCAGACCCCCATGTCTCAATCGAAATGAAGGATTTGAGCTTAAATAAATGGAAAATAAAACTAAGACAAGATCAGGTGTCACAGGAAGGAAATTATTGGAATTTATATAAAAAGCTTTTTTAAGAAGTTCTATGTGTCAAGATGAAAAGGATTAAAAAAACAGATTTGTTAGATTTATTTTATTATTGCGACCGCAGTGCTTGCATGATTTAAAACAGCGCTTTAAAGGTTGGTAGTTACGAGACTTTACTGGAAATGCAAAAAAAATAAAAAATAAAAAAAATAAAGATTCATTTAATAAGCGAAAATCAAGTAAACACATCCGTTCGTTATAATGTAATAAAGTTGTTTGAGTTTGAATGACTTAAGGGTGAACAAGAAGTGATGAAAATTTTACCCAAGTTGCAAACGAAAAACAGAATCGGTTTATGCTTACAGTGAAATGAAAAACAGTTTCCACGGATCTATATTTCGTAAGTATGCGGGTATTGTTAAATTATTGCATAGATAATAACTTCGAAGCAGGATATTTTTTTTGTTTGCTGAAATCTCTCGTAAGTTTCTACGGGACAGTCATTAGATTCATTGTTTTCACAACTTTTCACAATTGCCATGATTTGGCTAAATGCCAGAGTATGACTCCGAAGCAAAGAACCGTGGCAGGGGTTATCTTGCTGGTCGCTCCCGGACAGTAATGGCTTTCATCAGCATTGATTAAATCACTAAAATAGTAGGTGACAAACTCGTACGTAACGCGTTTCGTTCCTAGAAAAACACTTCTTCAGACTAATATTAATAAAGTCAAAAAAATTATAATTTTATATCGAAAACGCTAAAAGATACTGTGTCTTAGCTTTAAGTTTTAATTTTCCGAATATTTGGCGCCTGACGTATCAAGATTTTTACTTTAGCCGATCTCATTTTTGTCAGGAAAGCGAAAGAACTACAAATGCCGGTTCAGAAACTTGGACATTCCTGGTTGAAGCAGACAAAAAAAGGACCCAGGCGTTCGAGAACAAATCCTTGAAAAAGCTCCTCTGCATTTCCTACTGGAAACACAAAAACCAATGTACAGATTAAGGTAAAAAAAATCTCGTAGGCCAACAGGAATCTCTCCTTGTCACTATTTGACCAAGTCAAACAGTATAACAGCCTCTGAAAAACAATTATGCAATGCACTGTTGAAAGCGGGCGCAGCAACGCAAAAGCTAGTCATACAACATCAATGAGTGGATGGACATGTCAATGCTAGAACCAGTGAGAGTCGCCACCAACCAACCGATCATTCTGGAGGAGGTTGTTTCTTCTTCCATAGGTGTCCCCATCCCGATGATTGAAACTGTCAAGGAACTTATAATGATCGTTTTCGATATAAAATGATAACCGGCATTTGTTGTAGTTCTTTCGCTTATATATATATATATATATATATATATATATATATATATATATTAAAGACATTTTTATGTTTAACGTTCTTTTTTATAGATACAAGTATTTAAGTAAATGCTCTGTTTATAATAAACAGTATTAAATAACATTTACCGGCCTGAATGTCCGAGAAATTTTCATAGAAAATATTCGTCCTTTGACAGGATTCGAACCTGCATCCTATACGGAACCGTCATTTACGCTGACGTGCCTTGACAAAGGATAGTTCGGTTGGCAAGGTTGAATTTACTGCTTATAAACTTCAATCTTCCATGAATCTCGTACATTCATAACTGCTCCTGGCGTAGATGTAAACAAATGACGTCATATATTAAGAAATGGACAAAGTCTGACAATTTATTTATTAAAGACATTTTTTATGTTTATAAAAAGAACGTTAAACATAAAAAATATCTTTAATAAATAAATTGTCGGACTTTGTCCATATCTTATATATATATTATTGACTCCATCGGTAAATCCATTATTTGTCCGAAGAAGTTCTTTCTTAGGACGAAACATATCGCTTAATATTTACACTACATCATTCGGATTGTTGTCATCTTTATTTGCGATATTCACGACGTTTCGGCCGTTGTACGCACCGCATTTTTTTTTTTCAGGAATATACTTTGGAATTTCAAACTGAACCCTTTATTTGGTCCACGAGGATAGTGTGTTCTAATTGCACGTTCCTGTGGTCCGAACTATCGCGTTTTATCTGGAGAATCACAAGAATCAATGCACAAACCTCCATTGAGCACGCCCTTATAGATCCTAGACTCTCTGCGTTGATGCAACGTAGCGCCAGCTATGCAGGCAGATGTTGCCACGTCCTAAGTCAAAAGAATTCCGCCCATGAAGAACACCATCTCAAATGTGTCAGAAGCAAGCCGTACTTTATAATTTGATTGCCGAACGAGGTCATAATTGTCTCTATGGACTACTACCAGTTTTAACTGTAATGGCACAAACATCTACTCTCGTCTCTAAATATGCGGCATAAATTTCTGAACATATAAACTAATTTCATAATTAGATTTTCCATAATTTAGTATTTCATTTCTGAGATGAATAATTGTCAATGTTCTGGTATTATTTCGAACTACAGTGTAACCCGGATATAAGAGATTTTCTCTGGTCCCAAATTAGAGCCTGTGTTAATGTATATAAAATAGACCAAACCCGGATATAAGAGACTTCTCCGGTCCCGACAACTCTCTTATATCCGGGTTACACTGTATTCTCATTTTGGTTGATATAGATGTTGGTATAGACACGACGTTTTGACCAAATACTTTCTGGTCATCATCAGGATCCTCATTGACTGGCTGACCCGGGATATCTGTCCTTGTGATGTCAGTTATTGTTCGTCCATGCCGAGTTGGTGCGTCAATATTTTTTGATCCAAGGATTGAATATATGACTATTGGATGATAGTAAAACATGCATAACCAACTCTTACGTCACCGGCATTAGTGGTGTGTTTTTTGGAGCCTTTTATATTCAATATCAGAGGTGGGGAGGGGGCACTTGGTTATGATGACGAGCTCCTACCGCTTTTCATAATTTAGTATTTTTCTTTTAAGATGCGTAATTGTCAATATTCTTGTATTATTTCGAACTATTGTTCGCATCTTGGTCGATATGGATGTTATTTATAGATAAACCGTATATACTTGCGTAGCATGCGACTTTTGAAGACCTAATTTTGAAGTTAATTTTAAGAAGGTCTCATACATGAGATATAATTTATCGTATGTACTGCTATCCCTGGCTTGACCAAACTATACATCCATTTACTGTAGTCAAATTAGCTTCAAAATTAGGACTTCAAATGTCGCACGATGCGTCAGTATATACGGTATATTATTATGGATATTATACTTTTCAGTACGATGGTAAATTCAACCTCGATGTAAAATTTAATAAAAACTGAAAAAAAAAAATGACATGAACGTAAACAGCGATGATAACATTTCTTCAGAATAAACGTTTTGTCAGACAAAATGGAAGGAGTTCGGGAAAAAACCGGGTAAAATGACGATTGCATTTTCTGTAAGTCGAAATATTTGTCCAATACTGACCATAGCAATGAACTTTCATGCTATATATAATCAGCGTGGGACAGGAGTTTTTGTTATGGCTTCAAAGGGGTATTTTTCAAAGAGAGATAATCGGTAAGCATTTTTTGATTTACCACTTCACAATGAGTAATATTTCTTTGATCTTATCGTTGCTCATCCTCCTCCTTTGTATATTATTTGATATATTTGAATACTGTTTTAAAACATCTATTTTTAAAAGCTTCATGTTTATGTCTCTACTTCGGAGACAACAGCTAGTAGAGTAATTTTAAATTAATGAATCTATGCTTTAATCCGACATTATTCTTGATTACTACAAACATTATATATAATTGATACACGCGTTTCAACCTTAGTTAAAACCAAAACAAAACGTACCCCTTAAATTCACACTTACCGGTATAGACTGTCGAAAGTCGAAGTAAATATAATATTCTTCTTAGCAGAGATCGATACTACGTTCCCTTTTTATTTTCGGTAAAACCGCCTTGAAGCGATTAAAGGTTCAATCTATGCCGACAGGCAACTTTTCTTTTAAAACAATTTATGTTTGCCCAAACCGGAAGTTGTCAATTTCACTGATTAAAAAAAAAAAAAGCGGAAGGTATTGACTATCCACGAAATATAATGTTCTTAATAATAAACTGATAATGTCGAATTAAAAATAATCCATTATTTAAAAAGTACTTGTTTATGATTCGTGTACGAAAATAAAGTTAACGAATATAGACTTCGGAATATCCCACCGAGTGTGTTACTGTTAACTAACGGTAATATTATTATTATTAAAAAAAGCTTCACAAAGGCTTAATGTAAAAAAGGATTTTAAAGAACTCGTTATTTGACAAGATCCACAATTAGAATACTTGAACAATGGCGAATGCTTTGCTATTCAGACCAGCAGGTGCATTTTGGTTGTTATACTCACAAAATTCCGGCCTTCGTATTAGATAAGCTTTTTGGAATTTTGAAATAAACCCTTTATTAAATCCACGGGGCTAGGATGTTCTAATTTTCATACTTAGGAGATTATTTTATATCAATTGGTACTCAGACTTATTCATGTTTTGCGTCACATCTTAACTAGAACAAAAAAACTATCAAACTAAGAAATCCAACTCACATCTGCCAGGGAACCAGGTAGGTTTTAACCAGTACTTTAATGCACATGTGTCTGTTGCATTAAAAAAAATCAAGTAAGACTAAAGGACA